TTGAATATTTTAGTTTTATTTGTTGCTTTACCGTTGAATTTAAGTTAACAAATTTAGTTCACTAAGACTCTTCTAAAAGAAAAAGAGGATTACTTATGGGTCCAAATTTTGAAATTCGCCTCAGGCCTCGCGAAACACACGTACGGCCCTGCCAGAACCGACAACGCCGCCGGCTCCGTCCCAACTTACAAGGCACTCCACAACTTCCTCTGCCACATCGTGTCTTCTCTCTTTGTCAGTGTTAGTGAGTGCTAACATCACAATGGGGAAGCAAAGATTTGCTCGTAAACAAGGTAGATTTTTAAAAATATTTCTGGGTTTTCCCTCTAATAGCCATTAATTTTCAATTATTTTGTCCTAAATGAGTTTACTGAAAATTTAATTTATACTCCCATTAATATGTAAGTTGATAGCAAAGAGATGCTATATATAATTTTATATTATGGAACAGGGTTTAAGAGGCTGTCTAAAGCAGAGACATTATCAAAGAAAGAAAATTTAAAAAGAAATCGCCGTGCCAATGACGAGAAGTTCATACCAAACTCCTCGCAGAGTGACGACTCAGGCAAGTTGATTTACATGATTACTGTAGCTGTGTTTGACGTGAACATTTAAATTTCTTTATTTTTTCATTTCACGTATCTTTTGAAGTTTGTTTTCTGTTTGCATATGCTAAAAAAACTAGCCCGCATAATTTTTTTTGAACCTAAAGAACGCATACATGCCAAGTACATGAAAATGATCGTGCAAGCAAACATATGAAGTTATCATATAGATATCCTGTGCTATGTTTCATACACAAATTCATATGAAAGGACCTCTTGAGAGGATCAATCTTATTTGAATTTGATATGGACAGGTGGAGGTTTCTGAGTTATAAGTTCTAAAACAATGATATTAAGAAACACTCAAAAAAGGGGAAAGGGAGTAGAGTAGCCACTTTACAGGATTCTGTTCATTCGCAACAATATAGTGCTGGACATTGAAGTTACGAAGTTTGATAAAAATTAATGAAGTTCTAAAATAGTGTAACAGTTCTAGATCAATCAAAATTCGATAGGACTTCAAGTTGGGAAAACACCAAAATTGCTTTAACAGATTCTCTTGTAACATGCATGGATGATTTGATTTTTAATACAGTGGACTTGTCGGAGGAGCACAAAGACGTAGCTTCTGAAGAGGAAGAATCAGAAAAAATTGTTTATAGAGAACCAAGTATGTATGACAATTTGTTGAAGACATTGGGGTCTCGAAATGAAACTGTTGCCAATGCTTTGAGAAGAAGGTAATTGACTTCTCTGACTCTATTTTTCCTTAACCAGTGTCTTGTTTTAGTGTTTTTGAGTTGTGTGGTCGAGTGTCGCATTTGGAAATGCAGATTAGGTTTGAAGATGGACAATTACATGAATTAGAAATCCACATTTGTAAACTTCACATGTTTAAACATTCCATGGTTATGAAAAGGTTTTGTGAAAAGGGCACAAGTAATTTTCACTCATTTTCAAAAATATATAAATAATTATGTCATAAATTAATGGGAAAATGTATATAAGTCAGCAAATTTATCCTGCTGGCAAAGGAAATCGAACACTTTATCAGCATACGCAAGGACATCTTAATACACATGTAAGGTCATTAGGTATAAACTATACATGGCTGGGTTGGTTGGGGGTATGGGGAGGAGGTGATTTTTTTCTGGGATGTGAAGAGTGACACTAGGAGGAATGTTAGGATAAGCTCCAAAAAATTGAGTTTTAAAATAGCTTCTAGCCAGGACGAGTTGAATTCTTTGATTGAGGTGAAAATCCTCGCAAATATTCTAATGCGATTTCAAATCCAAGATGACAGGATTATCTAAATATGTACTCTGGATTAGACTTTATTCAATTCAGTAGAAAGTTGGAAGGGACGGAATGGGGAGATAAGGTTGATCATGGAACTTGGCAGTGGAGAGCGACATAAGGTAGATTGTTGATCAAAAGAAAATACTGAACTTATGGATTTTCTATTGCGGCTTGCTTGGGGAGTTTGAGATCTCGGAGATTCACGTGGACTAAATGATCTTGAATCCAAATGGTCTAAATGATCTAAACTTCCACTGTCAAATTTGGGTATTGACCAAAAAAGGACGTGAGCAGATGAAAGGATATTTCTTCAGTGTGTAAGAGAAGTTCTTTTTCCTCATCAAACTGATAGTTGCTGATTTACAAAATTTGGAACATTTAGAACAAAAATGAGAATTTTCTTCCACAGTATAATAATTTCTTAATGTCAAGTTCCTCAAAAAAATTTGAGTAGAAACCTAAGTTCACAACAATGTTCTCAACGTGAAGACCGAATATCTCAAGATAGAAACTGTTATATTGACTTTATGTATTATTTATCCATGTACAACTTGTAGTATTTCGGTTCATTTTTAGTGAAGCTATTACATATAGTTAGCTAAAACATTACTGAATGCTTATATTGTGAGTAGGCAAATAGAAGAAGGGAGAAGTGACACAGATGAAGATGTAGATGGTGATATCGAATCTTCTAGCGAGTCCGATGAACAGCATGATGGTGCGTTTGCTATTATATTTTCAAGAGCTTTTTTTAATTCCTGCTTTTATGATATATCTACAATCATTTTCCCCTAATTTTTCTCTACAACCGCCTCGATATGTCATATAACTATATTAACTGAAAGACAACTTTGGCAAACAATATGGCATTGGCTATTGTTAATAAGGGGTCTTTATGTTTATTACCTTGAGAAAATAAGTGGTTCACTTCTTCAGGGAAGTGCATGTACTGTTGTCTACAAGGTGCTCTTTTTGACTGAGAAGATGTCAAATTGTAATCTGTTCAAATTATCGTTGTCTTTAGTCATGAGATCCTTGTGTATTATCAAGAGTCATTTTTGACTCTATTATCTCACTCACTTTTTTGAATAACGTGGTATTTATAAGTTGTTTACCTGTTGACTAAGAAGATGTCTACAATCTGCTCTTTTTGACAGAGAAGATGTCACAATATAATCTTGGTCAAATTAATCTCTAAAGTTTTATATAATGTCTTTGGTCATGAGCTCCTTGCGTATTAGTAAGAGTCATTTTTAAATCTGTCTCACTCACCTTTCTTAGAGATTGAAGTATTTATCATGCTTACTATTTACCCGGACCATATCATACCAAAAGATAGAAAAAAGGTGGAAAAACAAGATTACTTAATGGCTTTGTGACTAAATGTACTACATTTAGTTTGTCTCAGATTAGGTGTAGAACAAATTTCTATTATATCCTGTTGACTCTTTGAGTCTTTGGTAATATATTAGATAAGTAATTCATGAAAATAAGATCATTATACTCTCTTCATCTTATGAGCTCGAGGATTGTAACTAATTTGCGACAGCGGCTATTGTATAAGAGTTGTGGACACTTAAATACACTGTTAGTACACAGGGGAACTTTTATTGACTTTCCAGTCTTTAGATTTGCTCGTATTAGAATTGTTTTTCTTTCGCATTTAAACATTTTGGTCTGCTTAGCAGATATTGTGTATTGATATGAATTCTTATTTTGGACGTCTTCGTTTTCCATTCTAACCCTCATTTCTTTCCTAGGTTCAGGAAATGATAAAGAGTCTCCCAGGAGTAATACTTTTGTGAAAGGATTAAAAGGTTCTGAAATGGTTGATGGTATGGAACTGAGTGAAGATGTTGGGACTGATGATGATGGACTATCTGACACAGATGAAGAAAGTGATGTGAGAGTGAATGGTCAATCCATATCTGAGGCATCTGTGATCACAAGGTCTTCTCAACTCACATATTTTACTACATTTGCTTTGTATTTCTCTATATAGTCTATCCAAATATGATAGGCATAAAGAAATTATTGTCCACTATTGGCCTCAAATTGCCATTAGAAATGTGATCTCTTTTGCTTAGACATACCTATTCAAGAGATCCAAAATAGCAGTAACAGAGTCATATTGATGATACCTTTGGTCCTGGACTTAGGCTCTATAGTCCCTATGGAAAGTATTGCCTTGAAACTTTTTGAACATTTCCCATTCTGCTATACAGCAATGGATAAAAGTTATGCTCTTGAAATTCTAAAGTTCAAGAGAGGATAAGAGTACTTCTTTGTTGTCTAAATCTTCAATATCTTAAATGGCTAGATCTCATGGGGTTTCCTGAACGGAATTAGGACCCCGTGGTCAGTTAACCTAAGAATGAGCCTATAGATTTTAGGTTTTTGAGATATGCTGCATGCATGAAGAACACTTTCTGTTAGTTTCACTTCATGGTTTTACCTTTCTTTTTACGTGATATCAGATTTAAAATGAGTTCAATGAATTTCATTATTCAAAACTCTGAAGAATGTGCTACAACATTATACACTAGTACACTTTTTACATCAGAGAGTCAACTCTTCGATTTCTTAAAATTAGTAGAAATAAAGGATGAATGTATTAAATAACTATTTGATTGTAACTACATATTTCTACATCTAAATTGCTATATTGTCGCAGTTGATCAGACACCGTATGCAAGGGGAGCTTTTACGGTTTCCAACACACGATGAATTTTGTCTGCTGCTTCTGTATTTCCTTTCCTAGATGACACAGTTTTTTCTATTCATGGAGAAATATTTTATTAAGACGGAAGGCTAAATACAATGCAACTCTGGTACTATCCATTTGGTAAAACAGATCTGTATTGTATTTTTGTGTATATATTGAATTAAAAACTGAATTGAATTACAATGAAATGGCCGGCTTTCGAGAGGCTGTCTCTCTCCCCATTGGTATACCCTAGTTCCTGTATAAAACAAATGAAACGCTACCCCCTATTTATAGGTTAAAGCCTATACATTTTTGTTGTATTAAATCCCCATAATACCCCCACCCCCTAGAACAAGAACTTGTGGGCACCTATCACATCATTTACTCCTGTCATTGTGTTAAAACAGTTCCTTCCATTTCCGTCCTATGTTTGCTGTCAGAAGAATGTCGTATGATTTTCTTACATTGTTGGCCTTACAATAACTTTCTAACCTAATTGAACAATACTAAATTTTTTCCTTCTGCAGCCGATTGGCTGTAGTCAAACTAAGAATGTGTGCTTTCATGTCCTAGTCATACCTCAGTTTTTAAAGAGATGGAATTCTGAATGTTCATTGTTGGCATATTACTTTGGCCATGTATGTGACCATATGGGCTTGATTTTTATACTGCCAAACATACTTTGTTTTTCTTATTGGAAGGAGGGGTTGCTTTGCCTTCTTCTTCATTTATTAGCTTTTCAAATCAAATGTTTCTCAGGGGTAAGATAAATAATAATTCAATTAGTAATAATATCAGTGAACCAGGAAATATGTCAGCGTGCAATTAACCCCTGACAAAAAGCATACATTTTCTGTATATCACTTGTAAGAAATATAACTTTAAATTTCGTTGGCTTTTTGACTTTATGTTTCTTAATACACAAGTTCTTTTAGTTATTCGAATGAAGACCTCATAAAAGAGTCAATAGAAATGCACACGCTCATTGCAAGAGTGTCTTCTTTTTCCGCAGTACTTTTGCAAATCATTTGGATTACAAGTTGTCAAAAGAAGAGATTGACCACCTATTGAGAAGGAAATGGAACTATTCATGGAAGATGCCTGCTTTTAATATGTCAAAAAGCTACTGGAGAGGAACAGGAATATGCCCGGTTGAGGTCCATTATGATGTCCCTTTCTACTTGATATGTCTTATTTTAGTTATATTGTCTTGCAAATTAATGGGTTTTATGTTCATTTAATTGGTCATATTATTATAAGTTTGGGAGGGCTCTTTCATGCATTTATTGCTTGTAGTTGTTATTTTCATCAACTTCAGACGTACTGATGGCTGTCTCATGGTCTAGTTTGTCTCACACCATATTTTCACTGCTTATCATGTAGACTGATTGATTAGACCTGCTTCTCTGTGAATGGTTCTAACAAGATTAGAAATGCTAGATATAGAAATCTCGCACCTTTATTCTACTCAAGTTAATATAACAATTTTACCAAGTGTAGCAATTACTCAATTTTTTTATTTTTATTTTTTTTAGTAAAGACATCCACACATCCCTAGTGAGTTTTTAGGCTCCATTAAGGAAGGTCGACGAGGGTTAAGGATTCTCCAATCATATATACACCATAAAATATGCTGTTATACATGAAAGGAGGGGGCATAAACTTAACCTCATGAATGCAACAGAGAAACAAATGTCAAAAAA